AAATTTGTGAAGGGATGCTCTCTTGACCTGGACACATGGGGTAGGGCCTAGGCCTGGCCCAGGATGATGTGGTAGACTTTGGGGAGCCCCTTTTGAGGGCCTTACCCTGCCTGGGGAGTGGAGGAGGGATGGCTAGGGGCAGGGGGGATGTTGGGGGGGGGGGGGGGGGGAGGGAGAGAAGGAATTGACATCTGAAGCAAGCTTGTTCCTAATTTGAACTAATAAAGTAAAATAAAAAAGAATAAACCATATAGACTATTTCACGGTTGAAGAAAAAAATAAAGAAAGCCACTTAATACTCATTAAGGGACAATCCCCCAAGAGGACATAACAATTCTAAACCTGTATGTACCAAATATAGGTGGACACAATTTCATAAAGGAAATACTACTCAACTGGAAACCGCAGATGAATCCAAACAGATATTAGGTAACCCTGACATGCATTCTCACCACTAAACAGGCTATCTGGACAGAAACTCACAGACATCATAAACCAAATGGACCTCACAGAAATCTAACTCTATCCAAATACTAAAATAATATACATGACTCTCAGCAGCCCATGGAACTGTCTTCAAATTGACCATGTATTAGGACACACACAAGTCTTCATAAATACAGAAAAGTTGAAGTAACACCTTGCATTCTATCTGATCACCTGGGAGACAGCAAGCAGGTGAGTGACAGCAATAGTAAGTACAGAAACTACACAACCTCATGGAAATTAAGCAACATACTACTGAACAATAGAAGAGGGCCAAGGAAAAAATAAGGAAGGCAATTTTATAATTCTTCGGACTGAATGAAAAATGAACATACCAGGACTGGAGAGATACGGCTCAGAAGTTAGGAGCACTGCTGCTATTCCAGTGGACCTGGGTTCAATTCCCAGCACTCACATGGCAGCTCACAACTGTCTGTAACTCATGTTCCAGGAGACCACACCCTCACATAGATATGCACGTGCTCAAAACACCATTTCACATAAAAAACATAGCCCTGGATATCCTGAAACTCACTATGTAGGCCAGCCTGCTCTAGAACTCACAGACATCTGCTGCCTGCTTCTGTCTCCCAAGTGCTAGTATTAAAGGTGTGCACCAGCACACTCTTCTGCTCACTCTCATTTTTAACTAAACCCCACATCTTGAATATTGCTCTCCTTTTGGATACCTTTTTCATGAGGTGGGAGATGCTGTCACTAATAGTGATAACCATGAAACCGTCACCTTGATCCTTAATCTAGGCTCCCATCCAGAAGCTCAGTTTAAAAGATGTCGATTGAATACTAATTATGATGGCCCCAGCTGTCTGCTGAGACAGCATCAATGCCTTAAAAAATGATCCCATGGCTATGTCCTATCATTAGCACTGGCTAACAAACCTCCAAGCACAGTTCTCCAAGCCTGAGTATCACATGCAGAATGGCTCACATGCATAAGGAACTTGCTTTGGTTACCAGGGAAACTATTATGCAGCTTTGCTGAGGTGAAAATGCAATCAAGTTAGGAGTTTACAAAACAAAACTTGTTTCTCTTTCTTGTGAGTGAAAGTTCTCTGTCTGGATGTTCCATGGCTCTTTGTCTCAGGCCTAGGGCAGAAGCAGTAGCCTAGTGATGAGGTCTTGTGACAGAAGTCAAGAACAAAAAATCCTCTTGAAGTGTCAGCTGAGGTGTGACCTAAGTCCCATCAGCTCTCAACATGGCCCCGCCTCCAGCCAACAGGAGAAGGAAGAGGTGAAGCATGAATGATTGTGAGCCACCTAAAACATGAAGGCAATGTCCTCTGTATATTTCACTTCACAAAACATTACTAGGGGTAAATTGCTTTGAGTTTCTGCTATTCTTCATACTCCCTGGACCATGTGATTAGCATCCTCACTGCTTTCATTGTTTCCAATTCCAAGCTTATACCCCAAAACTTCCTTCACACTGTTTTCTCCAAGGCTAAGTTCAAGGGTCATTTCCTTGCCCTGCAGAGACTGCATGAACTGTCCATATGCACAGCTGATATCTATACATGTCTCAAGAAAAGATGGATGGCATATGATAAATGATACAAGGCTGTCCTCTGGCCTCTAAATGCATGCACACGTGGGTCCCCACTCATATACAAATATGCATACAAATGCACATACACAAAACAATATGTATATAGAGACAAGAAAGTAATAATATCAACTCTTTTCTCTAAGAGCAACACTCTGACTACTTTATGGAAGTCTTTTGTACTTATTTATAACTTTTCTATACACCTAATATTGCTTCAAAATTCCTTTTTAAATGGTCTTAAAAAATAAAAGTACAGTGAATTTTATAAAGGAAAGCCAGATATCAAAACTGGAAAGAAATGAGAGGGTCTAAAATACAGCACTAAAAGGCATCAAAAGAAACGGCTGACAGAAACACTAACATAATGCTGACACTTTTCCCTCTGTGAAGGACAAAGTAAAGTTTTCCATTAAAATAGCATCATTAAGTTCAAATAGAAGCAGAATTCTGCCTATGTACACTATAAAATCAATAATGGCTATTCAAATGCATCCTAAACAATAGGCAATTACCCAAAATCCTGACATTTAATCTGAAAAATAAGAGAAAATCTCCAGCCTAGAGGGTGAAACACCCAGGGAATTATGTACTTGTAAAAGTTTCCAACCTAAAATGCTAAACACCAACAGAAACAGGCATTTGACTAACTCGAAGGCTTGTACTTTGACTAGTGCATTATCAGAACCAAACGATGCAAGGGGTTAGACATGTGGTCATCAGGCTGATGACCAGTTGGGTCCAGTTTGGCTCTGCTTCTTAATAAAAGGAGCAGCAACAACGTAGTTTAAAACATTGGTTTTCACTGTCTATCCATTCACAAAAAGGGTCATAAGACACTATGTGCTAAGCATCTTGAAGAGAGAATACAACAATAGAGACGCACACTGTGTGTCTTGGCAAGTTTAATGAAGGATGTTAGCAATGAGCAGAGTTGTTACATCATGTAAAACAATTACAACCACCTAAAGTTTTAAGTATGTGAACTCTGGCTCCAAGTACACATAGACAAAGGCAAATTCCAAAGATCATCTTGATGTATACATTTGCAAAATGCCTGGCAAGTAGCATTTACTTGTTAAATACCAACCAGCATAAAGACACCATGCAATCATTTGCTGCTTATCAAAATAAATTGCAAATATATAGTGACATATTTACAAATATGTAAATATTCAATGAAGCCATTTAAAAATATATTCCTTAAAATTGTTGAAGATGACATTTATTTATTTATTTATTTATTTATTTGTGTATGTGTTCCATGGCAGGTATGGGGAGGTCAGCACAGCTTGCCGGAAGCAGTCCTTCACCATGTGGGTTGTGGAGACTCTACTGCGGTCACTGGGCTTGGGGACAAGGGCCTCTATTCCCTGAGCCATCACACCAGCCTTATTTCCTGATTTTTGAAATCTCATTTATCTATAAAACAACTCTGTAGAAAGGAGAGTTTGGAGAGAAGCCATGTCTGCATTTTCCTAGTTAACATCCTTGTGAGCTTGTTGACAACCTGTCAGTCCATTGAAAATGGGGGAGACTCAAGGATAAGTCAAGAGCATGATGGCAAAGTCCTCATTAGAAAGTCCAGATATCAGCTGGGAGTTGGTGGCACACGCCTTTAATCCCAGCACTCTGGAGGCAGAGGCAGGAGGGTCTCTGTGAGTTCGAGGCCAGTCTGGTCTACAGAGTGAGTGCCAGGATAGGCTCCAAAGCTACACAGAGAAACCCTCAAAAAACAAAAACAAAATAAATAAAAATTAAAAAGGAAGTCCAGATATCCATAGGCACATGAAATGTGCACAGTGAAACACATTAAAATTGAAGTAGCTAATGTAGTTTATGTACAATGAAGTTTGTCACTTATGAAAAATTAAGAAATTTCTCAGAAAAGTCTCCTTTCCAAAGTTAAGCTCAGATTTGCCCTTGTGTTATCCTCTATGCACTGGTATAAGCATTTAAAAGGTAGGGTTTACTTTGGCCCTGGTTTTTGCTGTTTCAGTACAATGGTCAGTGGGCATCATCGTTTCTGTACCATGATCAGGTAGAGTTGTACAGCAGAGAGGAACAAAGCTGATCACTGAGTTGGGTGTAGTAGCAACGGAAGAGGAGAGCTAGGAGAAATAGAGGTGAGGGCTGGGACAAGACAACCCCCAAAGACACACTCCAAGGGACCCACCTTGAGGTGGACTCTACCTCTTAAAGCTTCCAGAATTTCCCAAACTACTATAAGCCTTCAGTACATGAGACTTCTTGGGGACAATTCATATAGAAACAGTTCATTTACAACAATTTGTCATGAGTAATTTCTAAACTACATGTAAAAATACATCTTACAGAATGCTGAATAATTCAAATCTTGGCATAATAGAAAGTTTATATTTACCTCAACAATAAGTCGGTATTGTTTTCTGCCTAAGAAACTTCTCCACCACTTTTGAATAACTGTCACAACCCTGTTCAAGTGCCTATGATGAAAACACGTTTATTAGTATGTGTTTGCTGAAACCAAGATGATGTTTCTTCATTCTTTAAAATTATTGTCTTATAATTCACAAGGTCAAATTCAAGTGTAAGGTTCTAGGTATCTTCATTTTATTTTTGTTTTATTATTTCTATTTTACCTTGCCTATTTCTCTCTTTGAAAAAAATGCAACTCATTCTATAGACCTGGCTTGCCTTGGATGTGTGGAGACGCTACCATTGCTACCCCCCAAGGATTGGGATTACAGAGATGCATGTCCTACCATGCCTGTCTGTATGCAAGTGGTTTTCCTTGACTGCAAATGCTTTGTTTTTTTTTTTTTTTCACCTTAAGATGAGTTCTCAGCCAGAAAAGGCTGTGCCGTTGTCTGCCAGAGTTGTCAGAAAGAGCCTGACATTTCATACTTGGGGAAACTGAGGCTTGTGGTTGCTCAGATTTCCTAATGGCCAACCTTATCATGGCAGAGCTGGGACTCCCCACCAGTGAGCTCCGTACTTCTATGGCTGGGTGGGGGGCAAATAGGTGACTTGTCAGCTGCCCTTGGGTCTTGTGGGCATGCTGTGCCATATGTCCCCCAGACTGCCTTCACTGCCACAATGACCCCTCCTCAGCAGTCAGCCACAACAACAGTTACACATCTGGGAAGGGGCCATTGCACCTGCCCTCAGCATGGACTTAGCAGTTTTCTGCTGTATGAGGTTGCTCTCCCTAGCTTTCTGTGACTGAAGATCTACAATTAGGAATCTCTGGTGCTTTTGAAGAATGAGAACTTACTCTGGAGGATTACTAATCACACATAGAAAAGCAGCACGAGATAACTGTCATTCTTCCTTCCTCTTGCTTTTCTAATTGATTATTAGTTCAAATTCAATTATTTTCATTCCTTATCATTTTATTCCCATAGCCTCTCGTGTGTGTGTGTGTGTGTGTGTGTGTGTGTGTGTGTGTCTCTGTGTGTGTGTCTGTGTATGTGTGTGTGTGTGTCTGTGTGTGTGTGTGTGTGT